TGTGGTGGCGGTGATGAAGAGGCAGTGAAGAATCCTACTGTGTAGGACTTGGTGAGAACGGTGTGACCCTGAGGTTTTTGTGATGTCATGAACAGATGTACCAGCCAGGAACAATCCTCTATCTTCCTCTGGTTCATGCTTAACCCCTGAAAGTGCCAAGTGGTTATTCTTACACCAACTTAGCTCACTGTCCCCAAACAGACTTTCTCAAGAGAATTTTAGGTGAAGTTTTAAGCCAGCAGCATCTTTCTCATGAGGAAGTAAGGTTTCTTCTTTTCTGAAGATAACAGCAATCTTATCTTTATGTAAACACTATGCACATACTAATGACAGGTGATGTAAGTCTCATCTGGATATTGTTAGTGACACACTGAAGATAGAACACGTGTAATAACCATTAACAAAACAAACTTGCCTAAATACTTCTTCAGTTAAAGGTACTTAAAATGAAATGCAGCTCTCATAATTTTATGAAGAAAGTAGGTGGATTATTCATCCTTCAATGTGGCAAAATGTAATTATCTAAAGGTAGTTAAAACCAATTGCATTCTTATGCTATGCCTATTTTATGAGCTAAAAAAAGCGAGTGCCAGGCTAAAATCTGAATTGCTTTTGTTCATGGTGCATTTTATTATCTAGTGCATTATCTAATGAGTCTTCTTCGCTTCTGGGAATAAGCACTCTAAATTGGGAAAACTGTCTATTTTGTGTGTCTCTGTTCCTATTACATTTCTTTTGGCATCTCACTTATTACTTTTCCCTTGTTTCATTCCTCTTTAGAGAAGATAATCTAAAGATAAGACATCCTCCTTCTGCACAAGTGCTAGGATTTGGAAAACTGCTCAACTTGATAGATGAAATACTTACTGATGCTGCTGCCGTTTGTATAAACGGATCAAAGAACATAGATGAGAAATTAACAACCAGTTTCATTAGCCTTACGCCTATTTAAGGGTGTGTTTATACCATCATCAGGTTAACATTGAAAAAATCGGAGAATGGAAGTGTAAGCACGCAGCCCGTGTCGCAAATGTTTGTGGTAGAAATGAGACAGCTGAGAGAATTTGTTTGGTGGTTAAGAATAATTCCACCAAAACAAGCCCTCAAGAGCACACTTTCCTTTTGATTTGTTGAAGCATAAGCACAATTTCTGCACATCTTTCCTTAATCATGACATTGAGCAAGAGAGGAAGAACTATTTTTAAAACACTGACTAGAGGTAAGGTAATAGAAACCTGGGAGAGATCTCAGCAGTCTCTGGAGGACTTCACTTAGGGAAATGATTTCTTCTACCCATTTTATTCCTTCAAACATTTCCAGAGGTGATGACTTGGCTTTCCTTGTAATTTACTCCAAAATGTAGAACTTTTAATGATCTTGCTGGCTGTGTATTTTCGGGAATCATTTTGCAGAGTTTATTGTTTGCTATTCTATGCAAGTTCCTTTCTGTGTCTCTCTGCCTTTCACCCCCTGTGTCTTTGCCGTGGATAACATAAATTCACTTTGTTAGGAAAACTAAGGTGAAATAAAATATTTTTAAAATGCTGAAGAAATAAGAGTGGATTTGAGGACTTGAATCCATATGTCATCGATCTATTTCACAAAGGACAAACAGGCAACTTATTAGACTGTTTATTGTATTGATGAAAGCTGGATTGTTAATCAAGTTTTGTCAAGGCTAAGTCCAATATAGAAAAAGTCATATTTACACACCTGATAGCCATTTGCTTATTGAAGGAAAACAGAAGCCTCGGTCCAAAAATTTAGTATTTTTATTAGCATATCAAGTACATAACTATTGACTTAAGCTTTTGTTCCCATTTCTTCTCAGTTCCCTATGATACTTGCCCGTCTAATTTTGTACCCCAACACCATAATGATTTTAGCATCCTACTCTGTTTCTGCTTATGCTAAAGAAGGTTAACATTTCTCCTTGAGTATTGTATTGTGCTTTCTCTTTAATCTTCATTAACCCTCAATTCTCCATCTTTCGAAGTTTGAATTCAAATCAAAATCTGGGCCAGAGTTTGTGCAACTACCCATCTCTTTTCAATGCTAAGGACCGTGCTATAGTCCTTACTTATTCTTTGCTGTTACAGACTTTTTGTAGTTGTAGTTACTAAATCTTGATTCAATAAGTAGCATAATCAATGAACAATGCTGCATTTTGAATATTTTCATGATATGTGAGCTACAATAGTATTTTACTGTGTTAAGATCACTAATGATTCCATATATGGAAGATTAAGTTTTGTACTGAAAAAATATTCAGTTTTAATTTGCTATAAAGAGGAATAAAAATTGGATGCAAAATTTTGCTCGAATTGTAATTCAAATTATGAGGTTTTCCAGTGCCCTAGTGTTTTTAGCCCAAAATTATTATACTAATTTCTAGCCAGATTAGATTTAGACTCCAGAGAATTTGAAATGAGTTTAGGGTAATATTCCTCATTGCATTAAAGACTACTTCAAGGGACTCTTTTTTTTTCTTTTTCTTTTGAGACAGAATCTCCTTATGTCACCCTTGGTAGAGTGCCATGGTGTCACAGCTCACAGCAACCTCAAACTCTTGGGCTGAAGCAATTCTCTTGCCTCAGTCTTCCAAATAGCTGGGATTACAGGCACCCGCCTCAAGGCCCAGCTATTTTTTGTTGCAGTTGTCATTGTTGGTTAGCTGTCCTGGGCTGGGTTCAAACCTACCAACTTTGGTGTATGTGACTGGTGTCATAACCACTGTGCTATGGGCATCAAACCCTTCAAGGGACTCTTGAAAAGTTTTTATACACTTTCATAGTTCTTAAGTAGGGCCCAGAACTCAGAATTCTAACCAACTTTCTCTGAATTGCAAGAACTGGTTGGACCATCTTGTGATTAGTACAAATTGCCACATTTGAGGGGAGTTTGTGGTACTCTGTGTGAGTTTGTGAATAGATGTATCATTGGACCTTTTCTGAATGTGTAGTTTCTAATTTCTGCATCACCCGGGTATGTTCCCCGCCCTCCTGCCATTAGCAGCATTGAGAAGTTGCTTCCTGACTGGGCCCCAGGGCTTCTCTACACACAGCAGTTCATAGTCTTGCTGAACAATTGGCAGGAAAGTCAGTTGCTCTACCTGGAAAGTCAGTGGAACCATGTTGACTGCTTCTGACTGTAAAGGTTCTTGAATCTGAAGGCCAACCTATATATTACCCCTTCCCAGTTCTTCACAGATACCTGTTTTCTCCAACACTTTTTGCTAATCTCCTGTGCCATCCCCACGTTACTGAAATGCTCTCAGCTACTGTTCGTTATATCTCAAATACGGCTCTTATGAGACTCAATCACTAAGGGACTTAATTGCAGAAGCCTTTAGTTTAAACACCATTATTTTCAACAATGCATGACAAATAGAAAAATAAAGTACCAGTAGTTTAGTATCAGGTGTAGGTCCCAGAGCTTTTACAGACAGGATCTACCTATTACAGGATAACACATTTGTTTGGCACTTCTTAGTATCTGAACAGTGACAGCCAAGATTGAGTCTGACAAAAAGGTTTTATTATTATGACTCAATTTATCTTCCATTGCTGGCAACCTGTTCTTTGGGAGGTTTGGTTTCAATGTAAGACTTCTGAAATGCAGATGAGAGAATACCTTCTTTATATTCTAACAGTGATGGAAGATGAAATTCTTTACAAATCTGATTGGGAAGGGTGAATCTTATATAAAAAATTGAGATAATTTCTGTTGCTTCATCATATACTCTGATGTGGTATAACATTGATAATTATCTTTTATTCCCTATCTTGCAGGATTGAGCTCTGTCAAGAGAGGTGAGGATTAGGAGTGTTTGTGGCCCCTTGGGAATGCTTATTTGGAAAAACAACATAACATTATGCTTTGAGTCCTTCATGTGGATTGAATTGGACATAATAGGACTCCTTATTTAGGTCTTCAGTTTTTTTAGTTTCAAGTGTGGACTATTTGGGGATATTGGAGGAGGGTGAAAAATCATACCCCAAGGCCCTGCTTCATGTGATATTATTGTTAAGCGAGGTTCTATTTTGAAAGAGCGATTCTGCATAATATTTAGCTCAGACTCTGTGTTCCTACATTTTGCAAGTGATGGAATCACAACTGAATTAGTTTAGTGAAACCAAAAAAGAAGTGAGTAATCAAGTGCATATTCCAAATATCCATTTATAAGTGCAGGGCTCACTGTGTTGCTTTCCTAGAGAAAATTCATTTTAAGTTCTATGTGTGTGTGTTGTGTGTATTCCTACAATTTGTCTTCTTTGGTCTGCCTTTGTCTCTATTCTCTCTGAGCCTGGTTGCCTTGGTTACCATGGCATACACGTTTGTATGTGAAGTTTCCCTTTGACGTACGTTTATTTCTATGGAAACAATGACATCATTGGTATGGGGAGGTGCTTGGGGAAAGCAAAGTAGTGTTGAATATTGATCTTTTTTTGACTCGTAACAGGCATTATTAAAGTAATAGCTGAAATTAGAGAAGTAGATTTTTGCTTTCATTTTGACGTGATCATGAAGCTCCATTTTTGCTTGTTTATAGACCTGCTGGAGTGTTAAATATATTCTGTAGCTCCTTGGTATGATATTGGTGTCCAAAAATTCACAACAGATGCATATAGCAATAAAAGTTATTACCTTAAAAGTCTGTCAGAGAGTAAAAAGTTTATCTTGATAACATTCATTTTCATCAAAAATTGTGCAAGGAATGTTTATATGAATGTCAAGGTAAGGGGTAAAGTAAAGGTGATGGATAAAAAAGAAAGTCTACTTAATAATCATTTAAAAGACCTCTAGTTTTGAAAACACAGGGATATAACAGGGAACTTATGGCTATTAGAACATTTTTTCTATGACACTAAATAATCCCATGTATGATTGATATTCTATTATCGTTTAAATCTTAAAAGGCTTTTATACCTTGTTTTTACAAAATATTGCCTTTCTTTTCTACTTCCGAACTACTCCCGTCTAATTGTTTTTCTTTACAGATGATGTGGAAACCTGCCTATGATTTTCTCTACACTTGGAGCGCTCATTACGGAAATAGCTACAGAGACGTATTACAAGACCTTCAATCAGCTTTGGACAGAATGAAAAACCCTGTGACCAAACAGTGGAGAGACCTAACTGGAGCTTTAATACTAGTAAATTCTTTAGAGGTTTTGAGAGTAACTGCATTCTCCACTTCCGAGGAAGTATAGAAAATGAAGGATGTGTTTTTAAGGGGAGAGAAAATGGGAGGGGAGAATGAAGGGGGAGAATGTGTGTGCAAGAAAGAATCTCCGAAAAGCGTGCTACTTATCTTCTTCACGTTTGAAAATCTACCTTTTTTTTTTTTGGTGAAAGAACATACTAAAGATAACCAAGGGTGAGTTTTATCATCAAACACGTGTGTGTGCTTCACATGAAAGCATTAAGCTGCTTTGCTCTTGAGGAAAGAAAGTAAAGCCCTCTCTTTCTTTAAAAGTCTCATTGAATTTTCTTAACTTAAAACAAATAAGCATTGGAATAAATGTAGCATCTATGGATAGACTAGAGGCTCTGGCCGTGAATTTGGTAGGGAGGGAGAGGCAGCACACACACACTCTCTGGGCCCAGTGACAGGGCTGCTCGCGCTCTAGACCTGATCTCTTGGACCCCTCCGCGGAGTTGGTCAGCAGTATCCTCATTTTTCATATGTAGAAGACAAGGACTGGAGAGAATGCTCAAGGTTATATAACCAATGTAAAATAGCTTTTCTGGTAGAAAATCCTGTTTCTATTTCTTAAAAAAAATCACACTACATAGCAGAATCATAAAATAAAATAAAAATGCATATGAAAACCCGCAGAGAAATGGGGCCATTTCATTTTCATTGGATCTTGCTCCTCTTTTTCACCATCTCTTAAAAGTTTGCCAGGAGGACAATAAGCCTTACCAGAAAGCTGTTATCTGCGTACACGAACCGAGTGTTTTCATCAGCTTCCTTCTGCATCTTAGGACCGATTTGATCCTGCCTAACTTAACGTTTTCTGCAGGATCATAATGCAAAATAGTTTAGCTCCAGGGATTTTTAATAACCATGGTTATTAAAAACAATAATCAGCTTCAAAAACCTGTCATTTCCACTGTTGAGTACAGCGGCCTTAACTACCCAAATGCTGATATTCTTTGTGTGTGCAAGCTCATGCAAACAAGTGTGTGTGTGTGTGCGTGTGTGTGTGTGTGTCTGCGTGTGTACCAGAGTGTTCTATAAAGATTTTGGAAGACAAAGATTATGTAGGAACTTGGGTTACAGCTGGCAAAGTTCACAAAGAGATGATCTCACTCCTCCGTTCAGTCCTCTGCTTGCCTGCCAGTGTTTGTGTTTGAACAGTCACTCATTCGCTGTCATTCAGTGGACAGAAAGAGCATATGTGTCTACCCTGTGGCAGACACAGAGGTTAATAATGGGGGAAAACAAATGATCCCAGACTTCTGCACTGCTAAGTGACAGATGATAAAGCAAATGACAGTGTTACATGTAAAATGGCATTTGTAATAACAGGTTCAATGGAAAGGTTGTGAGGTTGAGAGATATAGACATAGGGAGGTCATCATATGAAATGAGGGAAGAGATGTGGTCAGGTAAATTTTCCCTGGGAAAGAAATGATGAGCCTGAAGGAGAACTAGGCATTGCTGCTGGTCAGGGGAGGGTGAAAGAGGTGCTCCCACAAAACACGGACGTCCTCAGCAAGGAGGGAGCTCAGGAGGTGCAGCGAGCAGGGGTGCAGGAGTGAGAGATGAGGTGGAGAGATGAAGGGTGCAGGAGTGAAGGGAGCTCAGGAGGTGCAGCAAGCAGGGGTGCAGGAGTGA